TAAATACTGGACGAATCTGTATATTATTCGATTCTTTGTGGAGTGTGTTGAAGAATTTTTTGTTAATGACATGAATTTGCCATCATGTGACAACCCCTCATTTACTTTAAATTGTTTTTCGTGAAATGAATGGATACATTCAGATATTTTTATCAGGTATGAGAGCAGAGTGCTTTCACCTGTTTGGGGTCCTGCACCTAGACAACTTTGTAAAACAAAAAAAATTGAACAAAATAAAATTCATTTTTTTATAATTATAAAATATTTTATCTAGAAACATTTTATAAAAACAACATATTTCAAAAGTAATCATTTCAATACTATCTTCACACTTACTTTTGAAATACGTATATTCGACATGTTTACAACTTCAGATTATACTACATGTACGTAAGTAAATACTTATATCAATTGTGCTTAAGTACTTTATTGTTAATGATATACAATGTTGTGTTATTCACAATGCTTAAATATGATAGCGCATACATACTGTACTTATTAGCACATCAAACGCTCTATATAAAATTAAATAGAAATTTAGTTTTTGACATTAATTCAAATTATCGTCTTTGAGAGAACATCTAGATCAATCTTTGATACCGCAAGTAAAATTTCACATTCCCTTAAACAATTACTAATTTTCGTTTTAAGCTTCAGTCTTCCAGGTACATCGAAAACTTCAGGGCCTAGCATTTCACTTGTAAACTACAATGTCCGTTGTGATTATTGGCATACTTTGTAGACCATGCAAATTAGTGCATTGTAAACAGATGATGAAGAGTGAGAGGAGATGTTGTTTAATGGCAAATAAATAATCTCGTTAAAAGTCTGTAAAAGTATAATTAGGTATTTATCGTCTATTATGATTGATTCGGAATCTTTTGCTTTTTGTTAACCTGGTAAAGGCATCATGAGTATTTTTTGCAAAAACCGCTTACATGTATATAATCTAATTAAATTATAATTATATCTAATTACCTCTTATCCCTTTCATCCTTCCATAATGTAGATGACTGAATAATGGCGTTCAGCTTCATCTGCTGCTTAAATTATGTCTACTTAATTATGTATGCCTGATGTTGCTAATGGGTGGCCGGTAGGAGATGAAGAAGACATTTCGATTATGTACGCTTTTTATGTTTATAAAACACACGATTAAATGGTGCTAATTTCAGATGGTCTTAGATTAAGCAATGCTCACGACAGAGTATTGAAACAGACAAGTATCCCACTACAAACAAACAAAAATTACGTTCAAATATCTGTCATAATTCACTGACATGGTTTGTGATATATATATATATATAGGAGAATTCCTTCAGAGCAAAGACGTCTTTTATGTGTAAAGAAATTCTGCAAACCGTCAAGTAGTTCAAGGTTTTACGAGTGTGATTTTTACGGTTTTAGTTAGACCTTTTAAAAAACCTATAAAGTGTTCCTGCAAGTTTTTTTTCAAGAAAAACAAATGTTTAAATGATAATTTAAAATCCATAATTTAAAAGGATAAATCATCTATTTTGAAATTGTTATAAAACCAAGATTTTTAAACATGTTTCTTTCTTTTTAAAATATGCAGGAACACGTTATACGAGGGTTGTCCCGAAATTCCGTAGACAAGCGTTGTTTTGTACGAACCTGTTGTCATATATTAATGAAACTTCGTACATAGATTAAACCAAAACAAATATCGAAGAACTTCATAAATTAGCCCTATGTAAATTATATAAATTATAATTTCATTTTCTTGTATAGCAAGGCGGCGCAGTACCCAAAAGTTGCAGTTAAAAATTTGTATATTATATTTAAAATCCTACGGAAAAGTAATTACTACTCTGTATTTTTTAAATGCAAATGAAAATTTTTAATAATGTATTATAAACTTTATTTCCTCAAATTTGGTGTTTATGCTATCTCAAATATGAATTTTATAACGTTTCATATAACACGGGGCTGAAATCCGACTTTTTGAAAAATGGCTGCTGCGTTGACAGGCGGCGCACTGGACTATGATAAAGTGTTTTGATTCTGAATTCACTCTCACAGAAATGTACAAGTCATAAATGTTTGGTAGGCAAGGAAATGTTTTCTGGTCCTTAGTATTTAAAATGATTGAAATGGTTTCTATATGTAAGTGAATAACGGAAACTAAAAAAAAGACAGGCCTAAGAATTGGGCAAGAGTGGCACTGTACAACTCCATTTGAGAAGTCAGACGAAAAGCCCGTAGAAATATAGGTTTTTCACATTATTATTATTTCAGCTTGTACATACATATACTTTGTTTACATATTTTCATGTTTGATCATATCATAGCAATTAAGATATTTCACATTATATCTACAATCGTCTTGATTAATTCAAGAATTTGATTCTGGTAATTGGAATATTTTCTTTTAAAAAATTGAACCTTTGACATTCGTTTTTTTTTTTTTTTTTTTTTTTTGTTTTTTTTTGACGTTGCTGATTGCTCCGGGTGTTAGAAAACGATATCACTTAAAATCTTATTACTGAAATTGTTTTCAAGTAAACATGTTAAAACTTCATAATTTATCTGCCAAGAACACGCTTTATCCATCCAGAAAATTTAATAAAGATATAATTATTATTTTCTTTGAAAGATATGTGCTCTTAATTTCAACATATAAATATTTTGAAATGAAAAGTCTATCTTCGTTTAAGTTTTCATGTCCATCAATTTTGTAACTTTGAAGCATCCGTAAAGATTACACTCATCTTTCAAAAACCTAGGTATCTATTCGCCATAAAAGAAAAACAAACAAATAAGTCAAAAAATAAAACACGGACTTTTCTATATATTCGATCAATGCATACTATCTTTGCAAGATATATAACTGTATTCAGCGGCAGCTCACACATATTGGTCCGACCAAAATAATTCCATCATGATAAGTAGATACAACATTATTGTTCATGATAAGAGTAAAGTTGTGTATGTCATACGTTAAAGAAATCAAAAATAACGTCAAAATATCATTAGAAAGTCACTTTCCCCCCGAAATGCAAATAAAAAATATCAATATTCCTACGCTCGCTCCCTCCTCAGCCTTTTTTTTTTTTTTACGTGTTTGATAACAGAGAATAATTAGGTCATTCTTCGATTCATATCTTTTCACCAATGAATTGATAATACTATATCAACAATTGTATTAAGTACATGTTTATAGTCCGTTAATTATCATACAATTTGTTCTTAAAGAAAAAATTAATCATTCTGTGTGTGTGTATTATTAAATGACGGAATTTTCAATCCCTGGCCTGCTCGTGTGTACACTTTGTAAACTGTAGGGTATGTGTGGCAAAACGAGAACTGCATGGGTTGGAGATTCGGGTTCGTGTTGAAGTTCAGCATACCATTATATATAGAACTTGAATAATGTAAGTAATTTCTGCGACAAATATATTAGTATATTTCAGTTATTTTCAAAACAAAAAAGGTTTTCCATGTTTTCAGTTTAGAATTTTCCGACCCGGTCCTGATTTTCCCAACCCGGCCATTTTAAACACAAGTTGTTGCAGATGCAAATGTTAGAACAAACTATATAAAGTTCAACAGGGATTGTATAATTTTTATTAATCAGAATTCGTATTTATATGATCTAATTAAGAAAAGAAAAGTTTTGTCTGACACCGTAACTTCTCGGCAAAACAAAACGTGTTTCTCCGAGCTCGCTGGATGCGTGTGACAGCTCCATTGCACGTGTGTAGACCAAGGCTACAGGTACATGTAGGCCTATGTGTACTGTTTGTTAGGAGACTGGGTGACCGTAATGCTATGGAATCACGATATTTACAACAGTTCCATAATTAGACAGTGCAGTTTTTTTTTATTAACGTCATTATAAACACTGTTAAACATATTAAATCTAACAGTCGAATATCTTTGGATATGGGGTAACCCATATCTATTCTTGTTAGCAATAAAACGACCTTACGGTTATTCAAAGGATTTGAATTTTTATCTATTTTTCCAGAAAGAAAGTTATTTTCTTCTTTTCTCAAAATTTAGATATAAAATACTTAAATTATCCCAATGATGACGTACCATAGATATACTTAGAGACATTTGCAGTTATCACAGATTTTCACCAGAATACATATATGTACAATCAATTTTCGGATTCCTGAATTCCTGTTTGTTTCTGACATGGGGTATCAAAAACCAAGGCGCAGTCGGAGGCTAAACATAGAGAAGAAACTGTAACGTGCAACGCGGCCGAGCTTGGGTGTTTGGTGATATGTCTTGTATCACCGAGGCGTTACACTCAGGTTCGTTAACCTGTTAACTCAGATTTTTGTTGACCAATAAAATATATAATCTAATATATACAAATACAATGGGGTTTCTTCTTGATTGGACAACCACTAACTGTGGTCAACGGGTGTCTCCCGCAAGTAATTTTCTTCTTGCCCCGCCTCTCCACTAGTACTGCTGCATCTTGGCACTTCCCCCACCTCTAATTGTGGTATGCCACCTCTCTCTACAACCAAGTGACTGCCTTATTCAGGTCTTACGTGCTTTGGTGTACTGTGAAACACTTAGCCGTTCATCCCCTGCATCCGTCTGCCTTATTCAGGTCTTACGACCGTATGCAAGAGAAGAAACAAATGTTTATCCACTTCGTCACCAGAGAGGTCCCCTGAGTTCCCGTAACACAACATGTATTACCTCAGTGCAGCCCCTATACACAGGCAATTTCATACTACTTGTATGATCTGAGAATTAATATTTTTTAGTGTTTAAGAATTTATATAAGAACGTAGGTAAAACGTTAAAACGAAACTAAATCACAAAACCAATTTCCGTTTCAAAACTTTAAAATGGCCTAAGTGTTGTTTTCAAAGAGTAACGACAGTGATCATTTTCCAATAAAAAAAAAATCAAATCTCATTCCACACATTTACAATATGAATTGTGAAAATGTCAAATGAACAAACAAACATGTATATGTTAACGCCTAAACTTTGGCTGTATTATTCATTCTACTTTATAGTACTTAACTCCGGAAAACCAGTTCGGAATAACTACACATTAATATGTGGTATTTCGACATGTTTACAACATAATTTTAGTGAAACATTCTCCATGTAGTTGCATCGTGTTGAATCTCAAGTATAAATGGCATTCTCTGTGATTCTTGCAATTTGTGTGATTACATATTACGTACCTGTCAGCGCCAACAACATTATACTGCTTGAGGAAACACCAATTAAAGAAGAAATTCTTTTAGGTGAGTTGTCACCATATATATATATATATATATATATATATATATATATATATATATATATATATATATATATATATATATATATATATATATATATATATATATATATATATATATATATTGGTAAGCAACAGGAATACCATCTAAATGTCTTAATTACTCAAGAATTTTAAAATTATAGTCAGTTTAAGGTCATTGAAGATCAATATCTGGTATGCCGCCCCCCCCCCCCCCCCCCGCAGACACAAATGATAGCCCAAACGGCATTTAATGGAAGCAAATATGTGTTATAAAAACTGTATATGAATACTCTTCCACTCCAAATGTAGAGCTTAGGTAAGCTGTTGCAGAGTCTGGGGATGCGATTGTCTTTGGCAAATCATGTCAATCCATTTTGTCCAATGCTGCTCAATTTGGATTAAATCTATCGATTTGGATGACTGTGGCAGCAACAGATTGATGTTGCTTTGCAAGAATGGGAGTGTCAAACGAGCCGTATATGTGGCTGTGTATTGTGAGATTGCAATACGGCTCTAGGATGCTGCAAAATTGAATAGGCATGTGTAGGTAGAACATGGTTAGAGTACCTTTTCCAATCAAAGTCCATTGAATTCGAACCAAATCAATTTTACTTTCTTATAATACCGTTTTCCATATCATTACACTACCACCACCAACTTTACAGTAAGCTGCAAACTATAGTAACATCATTGCGTTACATTCATGCAATTTACATAATCCTCTGGAGTGATGCTGTGCTGCTGATGTCACTCGTAGTCTACCGTATTTTTTGCGAGCATTGGATGTTCGATGCTAATGGTTTATGTTTTATAGGTTAGATATGGCGCTGTGCTTAACATCAAAACCTCTTGCATTTGTAGATTGCGGTACCTCTGCTTCCAGTCGCCCATTTTCCTTTTTGTGCTCTGCAACATTCGAATGCAGCATTTTTAGGAAGAGTCAATTGTCAGATAAAACCATATTCAAAATATCGAGAACCCCCGCTTTTGATAGCCTCTTTGTACATGAAGGAATTGCATCAGAATTCAATAAATGAAAATTGAGATAATTTTTTTGGGGGGGAGGGGGGGGGGGATTTTGCGAAATCAGGTCTTTTTGTTTGTGAGACTTGTAAAATAGTTGTAAAGTTAATAATTGCATTAAAAATCACGCATTTCACTTGAATACATCATATCCATCTAAAAATAAAAGGTATGGCAAAACTATCATACATTTTTCAGGGCATTGTTCCAACTATGCGTTTCTTTTTTTAAAGAGTTTATATTCAGATACAAAGTTCGACCAAAATTACTCTCTCCTTAAACAGGATCAAAACATGATTATGAACAATCATTTTCTAAAGAAATAATTAAATTCCTTTATATAATTTATTATTTTAGGTTCATATAAAGTAGCAGCTCCACCAAGAACATCTACTCCTATTCCTGTATTAGAAGAAATCCAATTGTCCGTTGCATTGCCCGACATGTTTTGTAGATCGTGTAAATCAATGCAAATTAGTTGGCGGATCAAGTGTGAGCGGAGATTTTGTTTATAAATCAATAAATGATGGCATTTTAACTTTTATAGTTTATATGAGAATTTGTTCTGTGTCAAATAATTGAAGAATGGTATCTTACGATTATTCTGACAGTTACTAGCATTAACTTTATATGATACCTTGTATATGGCATGTCAAACGTTGCAATATTCGATCTTTTCCATTTGTATTGAATGATTCTTATTTGTATTCTATGATTTTTTTCATTTGTACTGTATAATTTTATATGCATTCTATAATTTTTTTCCGTTTGTATTGTATGATCTTTTATTTTATTGTATTTTTTTTTTATTTGTATTGTATATTTTTCAATTTGCATTGCATAATTTTCCATTTGAATTATATATCCTTTTACTTGTATATTTGTATTCCCTATTTTACATTTGTATTGTAAAAAAAATCATTTCAATTGTATAATATTTTATTTGCATTCCATATTTTCCGTTTGCATTGTATCATATTTTATCTATGTTGTATAAATTCTTATTTGTATTGTATAATTTCTT